TCCCGTTATTGTCAATAAAATTTTATAGAGTAAAATGTAAATTTCGTTGTAGTTTGAGCCTACCTGAAATTCTGCCCTTGAAGGATTTGGACCGCCTTCTTCGGTGAGGCATAGGCTCAAAACATTTGCGTGCGATTGTACATAGAGGGCGAGTTGTTCAACAACCACAGACATACGTACATTCAGAGATAAATACACCTGGCTTGTAATAATAATAATTATGAATCACCCTTCCCGAAATTGTAAACAAAATATTTTCAACTTCCTCTCGTTCGAAAATTATGTGTACACAGTGTGGTAAAGAGCATTTTATCACTATATCTTATGGTGGTACTCACATTTTTTGTTGTTATGTTTTTTCGTGGTATTGTTTTTGAGAATTTTGTTTTGTATGTATATTAGACTTTCCGATTGACTAAATTTTATTTTCGGTGTATTTGATAACCGTGTCGGATATTGCAAAATAGTAATCCTCTTGTAACTAATCTCGACGACATTGTTCATAAAAATTAATGTTTATTGGTGTATTTTTACGAGGTTGTTATTTCCATTTAAATGTATGGTTTGATTTCGTACTATTCATTAATATTAATTTGCTACGGACGTAATAGCAGCGGAAATTTTCCTAGTTGTCTTTTGCGAACAATTTCAGTGTTTTGTTTTGTAGTCACTGATAGTGTTAGGTCAGGGTTCCTAGGGTCCAAACAAACCTTGGACCGCTTCTGCACTAGACTCATCGTCCCAAATTTTCAAAACAATAGAATTTGATCTAGATAACCAAAATATCCGGTCCGATAATCCACCTACTTCATACAAAGACGTAAATCTTATCACCTCTTGATCGCAATATTGGAAAAAAGTAGACTTTGTGGTAGATAAAACGGTCGAACACGTGCAGCAAATCGATTTTAGAACACCTCTAACTGCCCCTAAATCCTTCCAAGGAAGCTATTGTTTATAATTCTACCTGTAAACCTCACTCCGTTATAAACCGGCTGTCCCAAACAAATCTTTCTGCAGCCGTCTGTCTGAAGGTCACCCTTATCAATAAGTGTGTGGCTGTTTCCAAGCCTCTGATTGGCCGCAAAATCGCAATCACAGCCTCTTCAACTAATCACAGCCTCACATGTACCAAACCTCATGTCAAAGTGCATTTTGTCCCAGACCCTGATCCTTCAGCTTCACTAATCATAGCCGGTAATCAGCGACCGTCCCCCCACCTTTTCGAGCAGACATATCTATAGAGTGATAGCGCTGTCCGAGCTAGTAAATCCTCGACAGCTGGTGGAGTTCCCGCCATTAGTCAGAACGCGCAGCGGTGAGCTGTAAGGCATGTGCTAAACCAAAGTGACTGTGTTAAGTGATCTTATTTATATTTTCATAAGTGATTAAATTATTAAGCAAAATTGTGATAAATAACGAGATGTACGAACAAGAGTTAGCTCCGGCGTCCATACCGGACGTCCTGGAGGAATGCATTTACCTTATCAAGGAACTAATGAAGGTAAGGGTTTATGTAACCACGACCACATGTGACTTTGGCTAAAATTATAACGACGCTCTAGAAAGCCTAGCAATGAAAGTTTAATTAGAAAGCGCCAGATCGCTAAAAAATTCAACGCGTGAGTCACCGTCTAACTCTTTAATTATTAAATTAGCGCTGAAGACCCAGGGGTCGTGGCAATAATGTGTCGTTCGAAAATCCAAATCCAAGGTTCGATTACCACGGAATGTGAAAGTTTTTGCCCGCTTTTTGTTACCGTTAGCGAGATAAGTAGCGGAAGCGTCTCCCCCATCTCTAGCCTGGAACATTTGCGATAACGCGACTTAAGTACCTCGGTTAAGTAACTTCTGCAAACAGATTGAGCAACATGGCGTAACACAAATTTGTGATCGAGATTTTCGGTATTCACATGCCAATTCCGTGTTGTCTCCATGGCCGGAGTGACGTCACTCGACTTAAATTAAGTAAGTGCAGCGCGGACACAGTTACATCACGCTTCTGCTGAATTATCGTCATCGTGACGTCATGAGCGATAAAACTTTGAACCTTGTGATTCCCGACTAGCAACCAGAGATAACGCTTTTTCTATCTACGGAAAAATGGCACGGAGTGAAAGGAAAAGTTCTTGTTTTTGGCGCTGGAGGTGGTTTATTGTGACTGGTTGAACCTGTTAAGAATCGGAACGTCATGATGATTGGTCATTTTTACAAAGTCATCGTGAAACGGATTTTTTTGTAAAATAATGAAAACTTTGAGTACAATGTGTGTCTGATGCAACTGCGTGAATTGTTGCTTTCACTGATAAATATTTGAAAGAGTAAATAGAGCAGTTCAAAGTTTATGGGGAAAGTCATTCGACTTTTGAATGTAAGAATCGAAGGGGTTTGGTTTGGGTTAATAAACTTGGAAGAGGTGGAAATGAGGTCGTGTTTTATGGTTCATAATCGATACCATCTAGGTCAAATATTTGTAGGCGAGAATTGTTTGTTTAGGGATTAGGTTAGCTAGTCATGATATTTATTGGTTGGAATGTGCCAACGAAATTAACTCTGGAATCCACGCATTTACCCGTTTGGTTAATTCAGGCTTGACGGTTATGGGTGCTCGAGAGCTTAGTTCCCCTTGTTACTACCAAGCGATAATCAGAGCATATGTGATAACGTAAATTTTAGATGTGACCCGTTTTCTTATCTTTCGGCATTCCCAAAGCCCTAACTTCCTGTTTGTTTTGTTTCCTAAGCGCAAGCTTAGCTTCATGTGGTTTATGAACCCGTGTTCAGTTTTACCCTAGACATTTAAATGTTCTTTTGTGGGAAAAAATTCAAAATTGTGCTTTACATTTTGACTTTGAAAATTCAAAACTGAATGATTTGAAATGACGCAAACGTTTAAAATTTACTTATCGTTAATTAAAATCTATTCGTTTATGGTCTTCCCAAAAAATGATCGTCATGCTACAATTTTACATAATAAATGTTCTTTAAATTTTATAAAATGATGTTCTCCTGCGTAAGTGATTTTTTAATCTAAAACCTTATAGGGAGTCCCAACTGCCTTTTTTAAAAATATAGAACCTTCTTGGGAGTTCCAACTGTATTTTTTTAGAATGTTAAACCTTCACTCGGGCACTAACTGTATTTTTTAAGAATGTGGAACTTTTTCTGGAGCTCCAACTGTCTTTTTTTATGTAAAACGTTGTCCGGAGTCCCAACTGTCTCTTTTAAAGATGTGAAACCTTCTCAGGGGTCCCAACTGTCTTTTTTAAAAATGTGAAACCTTCTCGGAGACTCCCAACTGTTTTTTTTTTTTATGTAAAACCTTGTCGGGAGTCCCAACTGTGATTTGTAAAAATGTGAAACCTTCTTGGGGGTCGCAACTGTTTTTTTTATCTAAAATCTTCTCGGGAGTCCCAACTGTTCTTTTTTTTAAATTGAAACCTTCTCGGGGGTCGCAACTGTTTTTTTTAATGTAAAACCTTGTCGGGAGTCCCAACTGTCTTTTGTAAAAATGTGAAACCTTCTCGGGGGTCGCAACTGTTTTTTTTTAATTGTAAAACCTAGTCGTGAGCCCCAACTGTCTTTTTTAAAAATGTGAAACCTTCTCAGGGGTCCCAACTGTATTTTTTAATATAAAACCTTGTCGAGGGTCCCAACAGTATTTTTTAAGAATGTAAAACCTTGTCGGTAGTCCCAACTGTCTTTTGTAAAAATGTGAAACCTCGGGGGTCGCAACTGTTTTCTTTTCATTGTAAAACCTTGTCGTGAGTCCCAACTGTCTTTTTTAAAAATGTGAAACCTTCTCGGGGGTCGCAATTGTTTTTTTTTTTAATTGTAAAACCTTGTCGGTAGTCCCAACTGTCTTTTGTAAAAATGTGAAACCTCGGGGGTCGCAACTGTTTTCTTTTCATTGTAAAACTTTGTCGTGAGTCCCAACTGTCTTTTTTAAAAATGTGAAACCTTCTCAGGGGTCCCAACTGTATTTTTTAAGAATGTAAAACCTTCTCGTGGGCCCCAACTGATTTTTTAATATAAAACCTTGTCGAGGGTCCCAACTGTATTTTTTAAGAATGTAAAACCTTGTCGGGAGTTCCAGCTGTCTTTTGTTAAAATGTGAAACCTTCTCGGGGGTCGCAACTGTATTTTTTAAGAATGTAAAACCTTCTCGTGGGCCCCAACTGATGTTTTAATATAAAACCTTGTCGAGGGTCCCAACTGTATTTTTTAAGAATGTAAAACCTTGTCGTGAGTCCCAACTGTCTGTTGTAGAAATGTGAAACCTTCTCGGGGTTTGCAACTGTAATTTTTTTGATATAAAACCTTGTCGTGAGTCCCAACTGTCTTTTGTTAAAATGTGAAACCTTCTCGGGGGTCGTAACTGTTTTTTTAATGTAAAACCTTGTCGGAAGTCCCAACTGTTTTTTGTAAAAATGTGAAATCTTCTCGGGAGTCCCAACTGTCTTTTGTTAAAATGTAAAACCTTCTCGTGGGCCCCAACTGATTTTTTAATATAAAACCTTGTCGAGGGTCCCAACTGTATTTTTTAAGAATGTAAAACCTTGTCGGGAGTCCCAACTGTCTCTTATTAAAATGTGAAAACTTCTCGGGGGTCGTAACTGTTCTTTCTTTTTAATGTAAAACCTAGTCGGGAGTCCCAACTGTCTTTTGTAAAAATGTGAAACCTTCTCTGGGGTCCCAACTGTTTTTTTTTAAGAATGTAAAACCTTCTCGTGGGCCCCAACTGATTTTTTAATATAAAACCTTATCGGGAGACCCAACTGTCTTTTGTAAAAATGTGAAACCTTCTCGGGGCCCCCAACTGTTCTTTCTTTTTAATGTAAAACCTTGTCAGGAGTTCCAACTGTCTTTTGTAAAAATGTGGAACCTTCTCGAGGGTCGCAACTGCTTTTTTTTAATTGTAAAACCTTGTCGTGAGTCCCAACTGTCTTTTTTAAAAATGTGAAACCTTCTCAGGGGTCCCAACTGCATTTTTTAAGAATGTAAAACCTTCTCGTGGGCCCCAATTGATTTTTGAATATAAAACCTTGTCGAGGGTCCCAACTGTATTTTTTAAGAATGTAAAACCTTGTCGGGAGTCCCACCTGTCTTTTGTAAAAATGTGAAACCTTGGGGGTCGCAACTGTTTTTTTTTAATAGTAAAACCCAGGGGCGGCTGGTGCCGGGGGGCACAAGAGCACGTGCCCCCCCAAAATTACAACGTCCACAAACACACTGGACATAGCAAAATAGTAATTTTCAATATTTAAAAAATTATCCGGAAATTTGTGTCATAATTATCAAAACTAATTTTTTTATCTCGCTCCACTTGTATAAAATGTATCAAAACTTACTTCCACTTGCATCTAAAGATGTGCCTTGGATATATGATATGTTATTTCTGATGAAATGCTGATAAAAGCCGAGCACAGAGACCGAATGGACCGAATCATGACCGATTTAGATGTTTTGTTTACACCGGTGCAATGGAAAGTACACGTCGTGGCCGCCTGATATGCGCCTGATACAACTGGCTTGTGAGCCCATTGCGATCGTGCTCTGGAGGATTGAGTTACTACTGCGGGTTTTAATTTTCCTTCTGCGCGAACACGTATGATAAATATTCTTGGATAATCTTCTCGGTAATACAGACATTCGGAAACAACTACACACCGCTTATATTAATAATATTCGGGCACATAACGCAAGGGTCGACAAAAATCGCCATATATTACGCCGATTGATAATGTGCATACAATTTTGTGGAGTGTTTGAATTTGCTTTACGTGGACATGACGAAAGTAGGGAATCACAAAATCCAGATATATTTCGAGGTCTGATTGATTTTATGGCTGAATTCGACTTTATCAGATCATTTGAAAGAAGCAACGGTTTTTAAAGGAACGCCTAAAACTGTCCAAAATGAACTTTTAGATGCCATGAACACCGAAGGCAAAAAGGTATGTGGAGAAATCCGTTTTTATTTTTATTGAATGTATTTTTGTATTTATTTCCGTCACACAATTTCGTCTATTAATTGGTAATGACAACCTGTTTTAGTTCTTCATATTTAACTCATCAATCAAATTGTGTCCCCCCATTTCAAAACGTCACCAGCCGCCACTGGTAAAACCTTGTGAGTCCCAACTGTCTTTTTTAAAAATGTGAAACCTCGGGGGTCGCAACTGTTTTTTTTTAATTGTAAAACCTTGTCGTGAGTCCCAACTGTCTTTTTTAAAAATGTGAAACCTTCTCGGGGGTAGCAACTGTTTTTTTTTTAATTGTAAAACCTTGTCGTGAGTCCCAACTGTCTTTTTTAAAAATGTGAAACCTTCTCAGGGGTTCCAAATGTTTTTTTTTTAATGTGAAACTTTCTCGAGAGTCCCAACTGTTTATTTTAAAAATGTAAAACCTTCTCGGGGCCCTAAATGTAATTTTTTTTAATATGCAACCTTCTCGGGGATCCCAACTGTTTATTTTAAAAATGTAAAACCTTCTCGGGACACCAAATATAATTTTTTTAATGTAAAACCTTGTCGGGGGTCCCAACTGTCTTTTTTAATAATGTGAAACCTTCTCGGGGGTCCCAACTGCTTATTTTAAAAATGTAAAACCTTCTCAGGGGTTCCAAATGTTTTTTTTTTAATGTGAAACCTTCTCGAGAGTCCCAACTGTTTATTTTAATAATGTAAAACCTTCTCGGGGCCCTAAATGTAATTTTTTTTAATATGCAACCTTCTCGGGGATCCCAACTGTTTATTTTAAAAATGTAAAACCTTCTCGGGGCACCAAATATAATTTTTTTAATGTAAAACCTTGTCGGGAGTTCCAACTGTGTTTTTTAAAAATGTGAAACCTTCTCGGGGGTCGCAACTGTCTTTTTTAAAAATGTGAAACCTTCTCAGGGGTCCCAACTGTATTTTTTAAAAATGTGAAACCTGCTCGGGGATCCCAACTGTATTTTAAAGAATCTAAAACCTTCTATGGGACCCCAACTGTATTTTTTAACAATGTAAAACCTTCTAGGGGGTCCCAAGTGTCTCTTTTTCTTATGAATGTAAAACCTCGGGGTCCCCAACTGCCTTTTTTTTAAGAAGGTGAAACTTTTTCAATTACATTGACTAATACTTTCGAAATATAAAACAGTAAAATTTCACAAAATCAAATTTTGTTTGACTGTACTTTCGACCAATTATTTCGTCAGTATTACTATTCCAGGCCACAGTCCTTGTTGGAAATAAAATCGCCATTAAATTCTACTTGTAGGCGTTTAAAACAAGGACACAAATGATTCACTTTGGTTTTTGATGTGTACGCCCGTAAAGTATGCAACCAACATTTCAACCATTTTAATACATCATTAAATGTAATGTCGTTCCTATGGTCTGGTCGCGTTTGTAAACTTTATTAGAGGCTAAAATACAGAATGCGTTGATCAATAGATCAGTTAAATCGATCAATTTCATGATTATCGATTGAATATTCCCTCAATTGGCGGTGTATTGTGGGTTGCATCAACGCGACTAACTTCACGTTGATTAAGTGCAATCACAAGAGTGCAATCTTTGGAATACGTTATGCCCGTTTTGCATGTTTCTTAACATCATGGATTTAAGCAAAACATACATATTCAAATTTAAAAATTTGTCTTTATTTAGTGTCAGTGAAAGCTCCCTTGGACCAAGTGGACCAAATGTCAAACTTTTTAAAATTAAGCTTTAACCCTCATTTTAAGCATAGAAAATTCTGACATCAGTTACAATGAAGACATTATCGGTGTTAATCGCAGAGTTTGAAGATGGAACGCTGGCGAAAGCCATTCATGCCGTAATAATTTTTATTTTCAAGTTACTAACCACTTAATTTTGACACCTGTCACACTTGATACGTCAAGCGTCCACACTGACAATAAAATCCCCCTTATGGTATTGAGACACCCCACGATGTTCACGATTTTTGCCCCCGATGGCTTGCGCTACCAAGTACTCTTGTCACCAACCCCCTGAAGTACCCTTGTCTTATTATGTTTTTTTTGTTGCAGTACCTCGATATTGGGGAGGACATGAACGTCCCTGATGACTTCACCCAGAGTGAAATGCAGACAGGGATGTGGTGGCGGCATTTAGCGGCTGGAGGCATCGCCGGGGCGGTTTCCCGGACCTGCACAGCCCCTCTAGACAGACTGAAAGTGTTCCTCCAGGTGCAGCCCTCCAAGCAGCGGATCGGCGACTGCTTCAGCATGATGTTGCGCGAGGGCGGCGTGACGGGCTTCTGGCGCGGCAACGGCATCAACGTGCTCAAGATCGCCCCCGAGTCCGCCATCAAGTTCGCCGCCTACGAGCAGATCAAGCGACTGATTAAGGGCGACTCGAAGGCGCCCCTCAGCATTTACGAGAGGTTCTGTGCGGGGGCGTTCGCCGGCGGGATCAGCCAGACCGCCATTTACCCCCTGGAAGTATTAAAAACTAGGTTAGCGCTGCGCAAGACCGGACAGTATAAGGGCATTATGGACGCCGCCTTCAAGATCTACCACTTCGAGGGGGTCGGCAGCTTCTACAGGGGTTACATTCCAAACATTTTGGGCATCGTGCCGTACGCCGGCATAGATTTGGCTGTGTATGAAACGTTGAAGAAGAAGTATTTGAAGACTCATTCCAACCTGGAGCAGCCCAGCTTTTGGATGCTGCTGGCGTGCGGCAGCGTCTCGAGTACTTTAGGTCAAATGTGTTCGTATCCGTTGGCGTTGGTGCGGACGAGGTTGCAGGCGCAAGGTAATTATCACGTTCGCTACTCGTTTTACTTTATAGTTCGGTCTAGGGAGCGGCAAATGCTGACGTTTTGTTTTTGTTGCAGTGGTGCACCCGTCGGTAGACCCCGCATCGGTGACGATGAGCGGCGTCTTCAAAACGATATTGCGGAAAGAGGGCGTGTTCGGCCTCTACCGCGGCATAACGCCCAACTTCATCAAAGTGATGCCCGCAGTCAGTATAAGTTACGTCGTCTACGAGTACTCGAGTCGACTGCTCGGGGTGAACATGACGTGATGCAGGAGCATTTTAGGAACAAATTATTTATTATTAATTATAAAATTCCCTCTCATTTTGTCTGGCTTGCGGGCAAAAGATGTTTCTAGCAATTTTTATTGCATAGTTTATTTATTTGTACAGGTTATTACTGTAAGAATACTTGAATAGGCTTTAACATGTTTGTTAATGTCCGTTAATTTATTAACGAAAAACGAAGATTTCATCTCTTGACGCTCATGTGGCTTCTTTGACACATTTATGTAAGTTTTAAAGTCTACACGTTCTCGATGTTGTTAAATTTACCAAAGAAGGCATGATTCTGTTAATAAATGACAATTTTAATATTGATACTGTGTATTTTCCATGATTGAGATTAAAAGGACGATGTGATGTACTTAATATTTTAATAAAATGGTATTTATTATACCTCTGTATTGTAAGTATTTATATAAAATTTAAAATAAAAACTTGACTTCAGTTAGAGCTTGTGTTTGCCGGCCTCTTCATCCAGAATCCAGACTAGAGTACCAGAGGGAAGCACCCGGGTAGCTGGTAAATCCTCCTTATCCACAAGAATTCTCTGGAAAAAACGAGAATTACTAAAACCACTTATTTTCGACGTCATTTCGTACAAACATCTTGTGACAAGCAACTTACGCAATTTATTTTTGGACGGTTACGACATTCCTGATTAGATTAACCGTTTCTAAGATAATCAACAAAATGAATTGGTTCATTCAGTATAAAAGAATTTCTAAAGAACTAAAAAAAAGTAGCACTCCCTTTTACGCACAATTAATGGCTTTGGAATGACGTCATGAAAGTTTAGGAGGGGATGAACGAGTCAATATCTTTCCGTGAATTTGTAGGTGTGACTTTAGTAATCTTTATTATTATATTAATGAATGACTACAACGAAATGTTACACTTCTGTATCAATATGCTTACAATTAAAACAAATTTAATCTATATTTATTTATTGATAGGTTGTAATTAGTCACGAGATAAAAATGCACCAGGATTATTCGCTAAGCCAACCTCAAAGAGACTCCCGATCGGAAACCTCCAATTGAAAATTTACGACCTTCCACGAATTAAAAATAATAGCGAAAACATCCTAGACCTACAGTAAGAACATTACTTTTGTTTATAGGAGTAAATCTCAGTACTTGATTTATTACAAATTTCTGAAATACAGTCCTGGAATTTACGCAGATCTCAGAGCTGACAGGCGAGGACTATGAAGGAAAGAATCAACGAAGAGGAAATTTAGTGCCCTAAATAACACTGACAGGGCCATAAAATTTTATTAGCACACAAAATTAATGTCTTTACACGAGTTCAATAGAGAACATGGGCATAATTCAGGGCAAAACTGTCAGAGAACGTAACAGAAGTGACAGCTTGAAGTTTAAGCGAAACCAGACCTTGGTGACTACCCCTTTCTAACTATGGCAAGTGGTCAGTTGGAAAAGTCTCAATGGAAATGATTAGTTTTCACTAAAAAAAAAACTTAAAATAGTTGTTCTATTCTATTATACTCTAGGTTATGATTATTTAAAACATCAACTCTAGTCTTAGCCAACAAATTACTATGAGTTTTAGTTCAGAACTGTGACAGATTCATTAAAACAATACTTGTCAAGATGCGATTGATTTTGCCAAATGTTATACCCTCTACCGTTCATTTTCTTAGAGGATATGTCATTTGATAAAATCAGTGATATCGTAGCAAGTACTAAACCCGCCCACCCGCCCTCTATTTTCTTAGACGGATCTCATACCGTTTTCTTGTTATTTAGATAAAGGAACAAATTAAATGCACAGTTCTATTTTTAAACGCTCTGTATTTTTGCTCGGTAAAAATGATAAATGCTAAGTTATATAATAAATGCTCAGTTGAAAAATAAATTCTCAGTAAAAATAATATATGCTTGGTGAAATAATAGCTGCTTAGTTAAATTAATAACTGTTTAGTTAAATTAATAACTGTTCAGTTAAATAAGGAATGCTAGTAAGAACCCAACGTGCTAAGTATAAAAATTGGTCGAAGGTTATATCGACAGAACTTCCCTCGCCCGTCAAGTGCAGCACTGCAAATAATACTCCCGCTGAAGGCGCAAATTGAAACATGAAATATATTTAGTATAGACAACAAATCGGAAAAATCGAAAAATCAAAAATTTAAAAATTGAAAAATCGAAACACCCAAAAATCGAAAAATTAAAAAATCAAAAAATTAAAATATCTGAAAATTGAAAATCCAGAAATTGAAAAGTTCTCAATATTCAAATCCTGAAAAATTGAGAATTGAAAACTTGAAAAATTGAGAAATCCAAGCATCAAAAAATAGTAAAAAAACTTTTAGTTAATATTTCTCTCGCCCATTGAAAAAATCGAGTAAGCACTTAAAAATGTTTGACGTATAAAAATTGGTTTTCAAAACCAAAGTTTAAAATGTTCGCAGTTAATTTTAGGTCCTTTACTGGTGTCTTATTTTCGGATAAATTTAAAGAAATCTGGTGTTTTGTTGCTGGATGAACTTGAAAAAGTCTTGGGTGCCGCACTGTTTGGGTACCCATGGTGCAGTATTTTGGGAGCCCATTGAGATTTTTTTTGTAAATTATTTGAGAAATTCAGTTTTATCTTAGCAGGCACTAGCCCGGCCCATCCACCCTCTTTTTTCTTAGAGGATATGTCATCTGCGAAAAAAAGTTTTATCTTAGTAGGCACTAGCCCCGCTCACCCACCCTATTTTTTCTTAGAGGATATGTCATCTGCGAAAATCACTTTCATCTTAGTAGGCACTAGTCCCGCCCACCCACCCTCTTTTTTCTTAGAGGATATGTCATCTGCGAAAAACAGTTTTATCTTAGCAGGTACTAGCCCCACCCACCCACCCTATTTTTTCTTAGAGGATATGTCATCTGCGAAAATCACTTTTATCTTAGTAGGCACTAGTCCCGCCCACCCACCCTCTTTTTTCTTAGAGGATAGTCATCTGCGAAAAAAAGTTTTAACTTAGCAGGCACTAGCCCCGCCCACCCACCCTATTTTTTCTTAGAGGATATGTCATCTGCGAAAATCAGTTTTCTCTTAGCAGATACTAACCCCGCCCACCCGGCCTCTATTTTCTTAGAGGGATCTCATTAGCCATAATCAGTCTCATCTTAGCGGGTGCTAGCCCCCAAAGGAAAAAAAGGGCGGGTGGGCGGAGCTAGTGCTTGGCAGGATAAGGCTGATTTTATCAAATAACAAACCCTCTAAGAACATGAAGGGCGGGCGGGTGGGGCTTAGTGCTTGTCAAAATAAGTCTGATTTTGGCAGATGACCTACTTTCCAAGAAAGTAAAGGGCGGGTGGGTGGGGCTAGTGCTTGCCAAAATAAGACTGATTTTGGCAAATGACCTACTCTCTAAGAAAATAAAGAACGGTGGGCGGGACTGGTACTATAAAACTGATATTGCCAAATGGCGTACCTTTGAAGAAAATAAAGGGTGGGTGGGCGGGGCCAATACATGCCAATATAACACTGATTTTGCCAAATGACGTACCCTCTACCTTTCATTTTCTTAGAGGATATACCATTCGCGAAAATCACTTTTATCCTAGCAGGCACTAGCCCCGCCCACCCACCCTCTTTTTCCTTAGAGGATATGTCATCTGCGAAAATCAGTTTATCCTAGCAGGCACTAGCCCCGCCCACCCACCCTCTTTTTCTTTAGAGGATATGTCATCTGCGAAAATCAGTTTATCTTAGCAGGCACTAGCCCCGCCCACCCACCCTCTTTTTTCTCAGAGGATATGTCATCTGCGAAAATCAGTTTTATCTTAGCAAGTACTAACCCCGCCCACTCGTCCTCTATTTTCTTAGAGGGATCTCATTAGCCATAACCAGTCTCATTTTAGCAGGTACTAGCTCCCTAAGGAAAAAAAGGGCGGGTGGGCGGAGCTAGTGCTTGGCAGGATAAGGATAATATTGCCAAATAACATACCCTCTAAGAAAATGAAGGGCGGGCGGTTGGGGCTTAGTGCTTGTCAAAATAAGTCTGATTTTGGCAGATGACCTACTTTCCAAGAAAGTAAAGGGCGGGTGGGTGGGGATAGTACTTGCCAAAATAAGACTGATTTTGGCAAATGACCTACTCTCTAAGAAAATAAAGAACGGGTGGGCGGGACTAGTACTATAAAACTGATATTGCCAAATGGCGTACCTTTGAAGAAAATAAAGGGTGGGTGGGCGGGGCCAATACATGCCAATATAAGACTGATTTTGCCAAATGACGTACCCTCTACCTTTCATTTTCTTAGAGGGTATGTCATTCGCGAAAATCAGTTTTATCTTAGCAAGAACTAGCCCCGCCCACCCACCCTCTAATTTCTTAGAGGGATCTCATTTGCCAAAATCTGTCTTTTTAGCAGGAACAGCTGTTTATGAAAAAATACGTTAGAACAAACATTTGTAAAAAATAATTTGATGAAAAAGTAAAATTATCAAAAAATATATGGAGTCCAACGAAAATGTTTAGAAAATTCGTTGATAAAATGCTTTTACCGTTTGATTCTATTGTGTATATGTATAATTGGTTACCTATATAACAGTTTAATTAGATTTATATGTAGTAAGTCTCAACTGCAGTTTTAGCTAAATAAGTCAATAATCAATTTTAGTTTCAGACAATAAATTACCATGAGTTTTAGCCCCAGAACTATGGCTCAAATTTAACTGCACAATAGGGCTTTATTTCACGAATGTTTATATAAAAAAATAAGTTAAACCAACATTTATAAAAAATAATTTACTCAGAAAGTAAAATTATCAAAAAATACAGTGGCGGCCAAAGTAGGGCACCTTCTGAAAAAAATTTTTCTAAGAAATTTAGTTGTGTAAACTGGACTCAATTGAATAGATATTCATTGTCAATGCCATTTAAACGTCAATACACATTTAAAAGTTACACTAGGGAAAGAAATGTGTCTACGTTAGGCTCCGCCCCTCGGTTTGACAACGAATAAAAAATTCATCAAAATTGAGCTTGGGGTGGACATGGGTAGGGCTTAATTTTTTGCTCGTTTTTTCCTTAATCTATACAGTATTCTTTGAATAACACGATACTCAAACACAAGCTTTTAATTTTTTGTAGAGAAATAAAGATTTTGCAATTAAGCTCCGCCCCCTTGGCTCAGGATGAATAAAAAAATCATCACAATTGAGAGAGGGTGGGTGGGCGGGGCTACATTTTGCCGTTTTTCTTAATATGTAAATTTGTATAGGGAAATGTCGATTAAAAAAAATCATCAGAATTGAGACAGGGCGGGTGCGCGGGGCTTATATTTTGCTTTTTTTTCGTAATATACATGAGCATCTTTTTACATCAAGAAACTTAAAACATGATTAAAATGGTACGTTTTTGCAAGGAAATATGGATTTTGCAATTATGGGGCGAAGCTTAATTGCAAAATCGATATTTCTTGATACAAATTTTCCATTTTAAACATGTTTTAAGTTTCATGCTATCAAAAGAAGTACACACATATTAAAACAAAAAGGCAAAAGTAAGCCCGCCCACCCACCCTGTCTCAATTGTGATGATTTTTTTTATTCGCCGCGAACTAAAGGGGCGGAGCTTAACTGCAAAAACTTATTTCTTTACAAGAAATTAAAAACATGTTTTTGAGTATCGTGTTCAAAGAATAGTACGTATATTAAGAAAAAAATATATATGCCCCGCCCACCCACTCCATCTCAATTGTGATGTTTTTTTTTATTCTTAGAAAATTAAAACACATTTAAAATGGTAAATTTTTGTAAGGAAATGTGGATTTTGCGTTTATATTTCTTAATATTATTAGTATTTTTTGAATAACTCGATACTCAAAAACGTGTCTTACATGGTAATTTCTTGTAGAAAAATAATAAGGATTTTGTAATTAAATTCCGCTCTTTTGGCTCTCGACGATTAAAAAAAATCACCACAATTGAGATAGGGCGGGTGGGCGGGGCTTATATTTTGCCTTTTTTCTTAATATACCTAGTCGTCTTTTCAGAAGAAGAAACTTAAAACACGTTTCAAATGGTAAATTCTTGTACACAAATATGCCCCACCCACCCGCCCCCCGATCTGCCAACGAATGAAAAATTCATCACAATTGAGATAGGGCAGGTGGGTGGGGCCTAATCTTTTTTTATTCATTTACCAACATCAGTCTTATCTTTACAAGTACAAGCCACGCCCACCTGCCTCTTATTTTCTTAAAAGATATATCATTTGCCCAAATCAGTCTTATCTTAAATATTAGTGTTTTTTTCCCGGAATGTCCTGATTTTTGGAAAAAAACTCACAATTTTGCAATTTAATTTTGAAGCTGAAAACCGAATGCTTTGAAATCTTACACGTATTTGCTTATTCCCCCGCCTCGCCCTAAAATTGATGACGTCACCTCAAAATTTTGCTGAATAAATTCTTAAATGTGTAAAATATGATGAGTCTATACTTGTGATTTATCACTGCATTAATATTTTTTTAGACGTGTTTATACAGGGTGTCTCAAAGAAATTAATGACTGAATCAATTTATTTTATTGATTTAATCAGAAATATAGTTCAAATTTAAATTCCTAAAATAAGTCTTTACTACAAGGATGATTAAAAAAACAAATTCAAATAAACATTTTCAAAAAATATCTTCATCAGAAAGTAAAATTATCAAAAAACATGCAGCCGAACGAAAATTTTCAAAAAATTCGTTCATAGAATGCTTTTACCCTCCGATTAAATTGTGTACGTACTTAATTTGCTTTAATTTCATTTATAATAAAAGTCTTAATAGCAGTTAATTCCAGTTAAAAAAAATAGTTGTATTCGAATTTATGATTATTTAAAATTAAGATATCAATTCTAGTTTCAGACAACAAATGAATCAGTTTTAGCCCAGAACTATGGTTCAAATTTAAACTCCAAATAAGTGTAATACTAGACGGATGTTTAAACAAAAAAGTTAAAATGAGCATTTTCGAAAAATAACTTCACCGGAAAGTAAAATTATCAAAAATATATGCAGTCGAACGAAAATTTTTAGAAAATTTGTTCATGGAATGTTTTTACCCTCCGATTCAATTGAGCACATGGATAACTGGTTTTCTACTTAATGCTTTGAGACCCAATAAAATAAGTGATCAAAACGGAGTTAGGGTCAAACTAGAATTCAATTCCCATTTCACAGTAAATACAATAAGTGAGTGAAAGGGGCAAGGGGGAGAGAGAGATGGGGGGGTTTAGCTTTTTCTACACCCCTCCTTCATTCTAGTGATTACTCTTGACAGTTTTCAGTCTTATCTTAGCAAGTACAAGACCCGCCCACCCGCCCTCTATTTTCTTAAAGCGTATATCATTTGCCAAAACCAGTCTTATCTTTTCAAGTACTAGCCCCACCGATCCGCCCTCTATTTTCTTACAACGTATATCAGTCTTATCTTAAATATTATTGTTGAGTTTATCCAGAAACGTCCTGATTTTTGGGAAAAAACTCACAATTATAAAACAACATTTTGCAATTTAATTTTGAATCTCAAATCAATTTATTTTATAGATTTAATCAGAATTATAGTTCAAACTTAAATTCTTAAAATAAGTCTTTTACACGGATGATTAAAAAAATTAATTAAAATAAACATTTTCAAAAAATAATTGCATCAGAAAGAAAACTTATCAAAAAATATATGCAATCGAACATAGCTATCTTTTCATACAAAAAACTTAAAACATGGTTAAAATGGTACATTTTTGCAAGGAAATATGGATTTTAATCGATATTTCGTGATACAAATTTTCTATTTTAAACATGTTTTAAGTTTCATGTTATGAAAAAAGTCTACACATATTAAAACAAAAAGGCAAAATATAAAGAAATAAAAAACATGTTTTTCAGTATCGTGTTGTTCAAAGAATCCTAGTATATTAAGACAAAAAGGCAAAATATAAACCCCGCCCACCCACCCCATCTCAATTGTGATGATTTTTTTATTAAAATATCAATTTTAGTTTCAGTGAATTTCGGCTCTAAGAAATGTAACCTTATTTTTTTAGTTTTGTTATTTTTGACACTATAGTGATGCTAAAAATTTTAAACTTCAAACGTCAATGTGACATTTTCAAAATGTCAGAAAAACAACGATTTTCTGGTCACAACTGTAGTTTTACGACCTTCAAAATTTCTAATGAAAGTTTAAATAAATTACCTCTAAATAGGCAATATAAAAAAATTGAGTGGTTATACTTAATAACAATAATATAAAACAAGAAATTGTTCATTACACAATTTTGTTAAATTTTCATCTAATTAGTTTACCGTCACGAATAGTTATTAATGATCAAAATCGTCAGAAAAAAAATCATTATATGACTAATTTTATTCATCCACAGATTCTGTCACCATCGATGTTATAATTTTTAACGACTCTTAAAACACCTCTCTTAGATAACTTCGAAAACAAATAAAGGTATCTTACTTTGACCATATCAGCCTTCTCCTTCCCACACGCCGCAAACACGCAATAGAGGGCGTTGTTGATCACCGGAAAAGTCATAGTGACCCTACTCGGCGGCGGCTTGGGGGAATCTGTAATCGGCGCCACCCACTTCGTCTTTTCCTCCAACAATTTATGCCCAGGAAACAGCGAACAAGTGTGTCCATCCGGACCCATCCCCAACAACAACATATCGAACTCAGGCCACTCAACTTCCGGAAAATGCCGCGCCATCTGTCGGCCGTAATCCTCAGCCGCTTCCTCCGCTAATAAAGAAACCTGTCAAGCCAACAGCAATCAACAGGTGGCAACAATACCAGAAATGCCCTGTTTGATGGTAACAAATTGGTTTTCCTTTAGTTTAAGCGTTGTTGCGAGTTCTTTGTATTGTCCGTAAGTGGAGTCCGGGCTGTCTTCCGGAACCACGCGCTCGTCACAAAAGAAAACGCGCCATTTACTGAAGTCTGTGTTTATTTTAGGGAGACCTTCCTTCAAGAAACCCACCAGCGACCCCCCTGGAACAAACGAATTTCAACGTTGTCGTACGTGTCAAGACCGCTGCACTTACCGGAAACCCCTATGTTGAACACCCCACTTGTGGATATTTTTTTCACCGAAACTTCCGCGATTAAGTCTGCCAATTTCTTGACGACTTCGGCGCGGTTTTTCACCACATGGACCAAATTTCCTTGCCCTTGACTCATTATTTTTGAAGATGATTTGCAAACCGCAATGACCGTGACACACACACAAACAAACACGAGAGTACGCGGTGTTGCCAGATGCTTCGAATGAAATTTAGTCACTTTTCGATAGATGTCGTACGATTTAATTTTGATTATAATAAAAAATCGGTTGATCTGGCAACCCTGCACACCTAATATACAATGCAGAGTCACGTTGGACGCGGCTGACCTTCGCGAGTGAAAGACAGAGACAGAAAGCATCGTTTGATGAGTTTGATTAGATATCATGTTGGCGAACGAATTTTTTCGCTTAATAGATTGAAAAACTGGCTTTGAAGTCGAATCGCGGGAAGTGCTGATGAAAATTTTAGTACGACATGGGGGCAGAAAAAATTTAATCATTGTGTAAAATGCTCTGTGTTTAGGGACTGGCGTTGAAATTGCCTGCGAAATATATTTGCGTGTTTTTCGCTTTATTTCATGTACTTTTTTTCCGGATTATGTGGGATGAATATTACTTAGTTTTTTTATTAAATTTTAACTTTATCCGGTGTACTGATGAAAGTTTCAAAACGGGTGATTTATTTTCTAAATGCATACAGAATTGCAATAAAAGGTTTATTTTTTTCGTTTAGGTGAGTGGGAGGTTTAGAGAAAATAAATCAGGCTTTATGTTACCTATAGAATGTTCTATTTCCTGTTACTCTTGTGACGGAGGTTATTAAAGTAAATCAGTTCCTTTCATTGAATAATACCGTAGTCGTGAGAAATAAGAAAAGAAGTTCCGTGCCCGTTGCATAATGTACAACTTTTCACGATCAATATCGTAAAATAACAATCCTTAGTTGAATTTAAAAACTGATTTGATTTAATTGAGTTTTAAAAATAAAATACGAAAGTACAAATTTCGCATTTCAGGGCATATTTGCTCAATAATTATTTTGCAATAAATAAAAAATTTGAGCTGTCACCCTTCCTCAATGATTTTACTCTATTGACAGTATATCACACGTGCCACATCTGTAAGACCAAAAAACCTGCCGCATATTATATGTTTTACCCCGCTTTTGCAAAACGGCCAACTATCAAATCAAACATGGGTCTCCCCATGAAGTTTCTAATGTAACATTTGTTAGGGCGAATTGTCATGAGAGAAAAACCGACAGCTTTAACTAGAAACCGTCAGTTTCGCTTTAACCTCGAATCACGGTTAACCCTGAGATTTTTTCAAATTACTTCAAAAACTAGACAAATGGAGTCATCGAGATTCTTTCTATTTGCTTCAAAAACAAAACAAAAGGTGTCCCCGAGATTCTTTTGAACTACTCCAAATACTAGGCACAAGGGATCCCCAAGATTCTTTCAAACTACATAAATCTAAAACAAAAAGGGTCACCGATTATTACTTCAAAAATCATACACAAGAGGTCCCCAAGATTCTTTCAAACTGTTTCAAAAATCAGATACAAGAGGTCTTCAAGGGATTCTCGAAATTCTGTCTAGCTACTTCAAAAACCAGACAGACACAAGAGGCTCCCGAGATTTTTCCAAACTAACTACCTCAAAAACTAAACACAAGAGATTCCCAAGATTCTTCCAAACTTCTTCCAAAATCAAACAAAAGGGATTCCCGAGATTCTTTCAAACTATTTCAAAATCAAAAGAAAATGGGGTCCCTCCGATTTTTTAAAAATACTTCAAAAGCCGGATACAAGAGGTGCTCAAGATTCATTGAAACTACTCCAAAACCAGAATAAAAAATGTCCCCGAGATTCTTTCAAACTACTTCAAAAATCAGATACAAGAGGTCCTCAAGGGATCTTCGAAATTCTGTCTAGCTACTTCAAAAACCAGACAGACACAAGAGGCCCCCGAGATTCTTCCAAACTAACTACTTGAAAAACTAAACAAAAAAGATTCCTAAGATTCTTCCAAACTACTTCAAAAATCAAACAAAAGGGATTCCCGAAATTCTTTCAAACTACTTCAAAATCAAAAGAAAAGGGGTCCATCCGATTTTTAAAAAATATTTCAAAAACCAGTTACAAGAGGTTCTCAAGATTCATTGAAACTACTCCAAACCCAGAATAAAAAAGGTCCCCAAGATTATTTCAAACTATACTTCAAAAATCAGATACAAGAGGTCCTCAAGGATCCTCGAAATTCTGTCTAGTTATTTCAAAAACCAGACAGACACAAGAGGCCCCCGAGATTCTTCCAAATTAACTACTTCAAAAACTAAACTCAAGAGATTCCCAAGATTCTTCCAAACTACTTCAAAAATCAAACAAAAGGGATTCCCGAGATTCTTTCAAACCACTTCAAAATCAAAAGAAAAGGGATCCTCCCGATTTCTTAAAAATACTTCAAAAACCAGATACAAGAGGTCCTCAAGATTCATTGAAACTACTCCAAACCCAGAATATAAAAGGTCCCCAAGATTCTTTCAAATGATACTTCAAAAATCAGATACAAGGGGTTCTCAAGGATCCTCGAAATTCTGTCTAGTTACTTCAAAAACCAGACAGACACAAGAGGACCCCAAGATTCTTTCAAATTAACTACTTCAAAAACTAAACTCAAGAGATTCCCAAGATTCTTCCAAACTAATTCAAAAATCAAACAAAAGGGATTCGCGAGATTCTTCCCAACCAAAAACCAGAAAAAAGAAGTCCTGGAGATTTTTTCAAACTACTTCAAAAACCAGACATAAGAGGTCCCCGAGATTCTTTTAAACTTCTTCAAAAATGAGGCACAAGGGGCCCCTGAGATTTTTTCAAACTACTCCGAACCCAGAATAAAAGGAATCCCCGAGATTATTTCGAATTATTTCAAAAATCAGGTACAAGGGGATGTCAAAGGATCCTCGACATTGTTTTAAACTACTTAAAAAACCAAACAGTTACAACAAATTCTCAGAAATTTTTTCCAACTACCAACTTCAAACACCAAACACTATAGATTCCTAAGATTCTTCCAAACTACTTTAAAAACCAGACACAAGGAGTCCCAGAGATTCTATTAAACTTCTTCAAAAACGAGGCACAAGAAATCCCCGAGATTCTTTCAAATTACTTCAAAAATCAGATACAAGAGGGCCTCAAATGGTCCCCCGAGATTCCTTCAAACTAACAACTTCGAAAACCAAACACAAGAGATTCCCAAGATTCTTCCAAACCGCTTCAAAAACCAGACACAAGGGGTTCCCGAGATTCTGTCTAGCTACTTCAAAAACCTGACAGACACAGAGGCCCCTGAGATTCTTCCAAACTAACTACTTCAACAACTAAGCAAAAGAGACTCTCAAGGTTCTTCCACACTACTTCAAACATCAGACACAAGGGCTCCCGGAGATTCTTTCAAACTACTTCAAAAACCAGACATAAGAGGTCCCCGAGATTCTTTTAACCTTTTTCAAAAATGAGCCACAAGGGGCCCCTGAGATTTTTTTAGACTATTCCAAACCCAGAATAAAAGGAATCCACGAGATTATTTCTAAATATTTCAAAAATCAAATACAAGGGGATCTCAAAGGATCCTCAACATTGTTTTACGCTACTTAAAAAACCAAACAGTTACAAGAGATTATCAGAAATTTTTTCCAACTACCTACTTCAAACACCAAACACTATAGATTCCCAAAATTCTTCCAAACTACTTCAAAAACCAGGCACAAAGGGTTCCCGAGATTCTGTCTAGCTACTTCAAAAACCTGACAGACACAGAGGCCCCTGAGATTCTTCCAAACTAACTACTTCAACAACTAAGCAAAAGAGACTCTCAAGGTTCTTCCACACTACTTCAAACATCAGACACAAGGGCTCCCGGAGATTCTTTCAAACTACTTCAAAAACCAGACATAAGAGGTCCCCGAGATTCTTTTAACCTTTTTCAAAAATGAGCCACAAGGGGCCCCTGAGATTTTTTTAGACTATTCCAAACCCAGAATAAAAGGAATCCACGAGATTATTTCTAAATATTTCAAAAATCAAATACAAGGGGATCTCAAAGGATCCTCAACATTGTTTTACGCTACTTAAAAAACCAAACAGTTACAAGAGATTATCAGAAATTTTTTCCAACTACTTACTTCAAACACCAAACACTATAGATTCCCAAGATTCTTCCAAACTACTTCAAAAACCAGACACAAGGAGTCCCAAAGATTCTATTGAACTTCTTCAAAAATGAGCCACAAGAAATCCCCGAGATTCTTTCAAATTACTTCAAAAATCAGATACAAGAGGGCCTCAAATGGTCCCTCGAGATTCCTTCAAACTAACTACTTCAAAAACCAAACACAAGAGATTCCCAAGATTCTTCCAAACTACTTCAAAAACCAAACACAAGGGGTTTCCGAGATTCCGTCTAGCTACTTCAAAAACCAGACAGACACAGAGGCCCCCGAGATTTTTCCAAACTAACTACTTCAAAAACTAAACAAAAGAGATTCTCAAGATTCTTCCAAACTACTTCAAAAATCAGACACAAGGGCTCCCCGAGATTCTTTCAAACTACTTCAAAAACCAGACATAAAAGGTCCCCGAGATTCTTTTAAACTTCTTCAAAAACACGACACAAGGGGCCCCTGAGGTTTTTTCAAATTACTCCAAACCCAGAATAAAAGGAATCCCCGAGATTATTTCGAATTATTTCAAAAATCAGATACAAGGGGATCTCAAAGGGTCATCGACATTGTTTTAAATTACTTAAAAAACCAAACAGTTACAAGAGATTCTCTGAAATTTTTCCAACTACCTACTTTAAACACCAAACACTATAGATTCCCAAGATTCTGCCAAACTACTTCAAAAACCAGACACAAGGAGTCCCAAAGATTCTATTAAACTTCTTCAAAAATGAGCCACAAGAAATCCCCGAGATTCTTTCAAATTACTTCAAAAATCAGATACAAGAGGGCCTCAAATGGTCCCTCGAGATTCTTTCAAACTAACTACTTCAAAAACCAAACACAAGAGATTCAGTAGATTCTTCCAAACTACTTAAAAAACCAGACACAAGGGGTTCCCGAGATTCTGTCTAGCTACTTCAGAAACCAGACAGACAGAGAGGCCCCTGAGATTCTTCCAAACTAACTACTTCAAAAACTAAACAAAAGAGATTCTCAAGATTCTTCCGAACTACTTCAAAA